GATCTCGGGGTGACAATAGGCAGACATGTTGGCGGAGCCGCTCAGGTGTAAGACCCCGCAGGAAAGCGTGGAGGCTCAACTCTTCCCTCGCTGCGGCCTGGAAGGTAGGGTAGCCCTTCCGGGCGTAAACCCGGATGTCAGCGGCGAAAGCGCCCACACTCTCTCCTTCACATCGACGTCGGTTAGTTAGCTCCTCTCTGCTCTGTTCTGCGGAGGTTCTCTGCCCGAAGCGGCGGTTGAGAGCAGCAGTGAGGGCTTGGAGATCACGCCGCTCCTCACGAGACAGATCGATAAGGACCTGGAGCGGCGGACCCTCCAAGGCGAGGGTCAAGTGAATGGCTGTCTCCTCACAGCTCCATCCATCGTGGACAGCGGCCAGGTCGACTTGTGCCAGGTAGGGCTCCAGGGGCGTCAACCCGCTATATCGTGGCAGCTTAGCGGGCGAACGTGTGAGGGCGCCCGGCCGGCCATTAATTTGGAGTGTCGGTGAGGCGACCGGAAGTTCGTTCTGCCTGCGACCAGGAGAGTCGTACACGGCCCGGTGAATGCTGGCGCCGTCAGGCTGGTGCGGAGCCCTGCTCCTCCTCCTCGTCTCGCTCGTCAGACGCTCTAGCATGATGCTGTTCTCGTGAATGGCACGCTCTAATTCGCCTATACTTTGCTCCATAATGACGTCTTTTAAACGACTTTTAAGATCCCACTTCTGACACCACTGTAATAACTGGTAGTTATCAAATAAAACGTGAGTCTATCCGGAGCTAAATTATGCTATTTACTTTTTCTAAGCTGATTCCTAACAGGAAATAAGAACACTCATGTCCCATACGCCGCACGACCGAGAGTGTTTCTACAGGTGGAGCATTGGTTAAATAAACCAACAGGAGGCAGTAACACTGTCTTTTCCTTCTTTTAATTAAGAACACAGAAAGAACTACTCAGGCAAGGCCCAATTGCCTTACACATCTCTCTCCATGACGGTGAGAGACACATTTTTACATTAGGCAGTAAATGGACCAATAACATCTGATCTAACTTGAACATTAACACACATAACTTTACTATCACAAAAACTTAAAGATCTTACTGTAATAACACATAAACAGTGTTGGGCAAGTTACTTTTAAAAAGTAATTAGTTACAGTTACTAGTTACTACTTCCAAAAAGTAACTAAATTAGTTACTCAGTTACAAATTTTAAAAGTAACTAGTTACTTAAGAAAGTAACTATTGCGTTACTTTCAAGTAAAATTAAATTTTAAATGCTCAAATGTGACCCCACCTCTACCCCTCTTTAACGGAACTTACAATACATGTTCAATTATTTATGATAAATCTGAATATTATAATGAAATGGACACTTAATACAATACATTATTAACAGAAACATGAAACATTGTACACACATCTAAAAAAAAAAATGTTGCTGTGGGACAAAGTGAGACTAGCCTCCAATCAAATGCCATGTAGATATTATGTTTATATAGTGGATCAATGCAAATAACACAATAGATGTTTTGGAACTTTTGATATTTATTGCCCCTCAACAGGCCACAACTGGGCAAAATTAAATTAAGCTTGTTAAGCTCGTCGCCATACTGGTCTCTCGTTGACTGACTGGCTTGCTTGTGTTGTTCATTGTGTGTCCTGTCCTGTCCGACTATGCGTTATGATGGGTCGTTCGCAATTCATGAGCGTTAGCCGTTAGTGATGATGGATCGACTCGTTCGCGAATGAGCTTTTGATGGGTCGTTCGCGATTCGCGAATGAGGCGACTCTAAGAGCCGGCTCTTTTAGGTGAACGTCGGGAGCTGGCTCGCATATCTGAAGAGCCGACTCTATTTTTACAAATTTAGCCTATAATATTAAATAATTATGTAAAAAAAATGTTAAATATTATAGTCAAAGTCATTTAAAGAGCCGTTTGTGAGCCAAAAGAGCCGGCTCTTTTCAGTGAGCTGAGTCAAAAGAGCCGAATGCCCATCACTACTATCTATGCGTGCTTTCGAACACCCGCCCAACTCTACCTCTGATTGGCTTACAATGACATTTTACTCTACCTCAGTCATCAGCATTTATGCCCTTGTCTCGTGCTCTGCCCACTAACCAAGGAAGAACAGTAAAAAAAGTATTTGCCTCTCGCTCAGAGATCTAGTTGGTCTGATGAAAAAAAAACCCCAGCTTCATCAGTTATAGTAACGCGCCGCATTTTTTGGCAGTAACGGGAACGGCGTTATTAAGATGAGAAGAGTAATCAAACAGATTACTCGTTACTGGAAAAAGTAATGCCGTTGCCGTTATTCCCATCACTGCACATAAATCAACTCCCAATAAACAATTACCCATAATGCACCCAGCTGCTAGCGCTGACTGCCAGGTCATTACAATATATATATATATATATATATATATATATATATATACACTCACCGGCCACTTTATTAGGTACCCCATGCTAGTAACGGGTTGGACCCCCTTTTGCCTTCAGAACTGCCTCAATTCTTCGTGGCATAGATTCAACAAGGTGCTGGAAACATTCCTCAGGGAGTTTGGTCCATATTGACATGATGGCATCACACAGTTGCCGCAGATTTGTCGGCTTCACATCCATGATGCGAATCTCCCGTTCCACCACATCCCAAAGATGCTCTATTGGGTTGAGATCTGGTGACTGTGGAGGCCATTTTAGTACAGTGAACTCATTGTCATGTTCAAGAAACCAATTTGAAATGATTAGAGCTTTGTGACATGGTGGAAGTAGCCATCAGAGGATGGGTACATGGTGGCCATAAAGGGATGGACATGGTCAGAAACAATGCTCAGGTAGGCCGTGGCATTTAAACGATGCCCAATTGGCACTAAGGGGCCTAAAGTGTGCCAGGAAAACATCCCCCACACCATTACACCACCACCACCAGCCTGCACAGTGGTAACAAGGCATGATGGTTCCATGTTCTCATTCTGTTTACGCCAAATTCTGACTCTAACATCTGAATGTCTCAACAGAAATCGAGACTCATCAGACCAGGCAACATTTTTCCAGTCTTCAACTGTTCAATTTTGGTGAGCTCTTGCAAATTGTAGCCTCTTTTTCCTATTTGTAGTGGAGATGAGTGGTACCCGGTGGAGTCTTCTGCTGTTGTAGCCCATCCGCCTCAAGGTTGTGCGTGTTGTGGCTTCACAAATGCTTTGCTGCATACCTCGGTTGTAACGAGTGGTTATTTCAGTCACTGTTGCCCTTCTATCAGCTCGAACCAGTCTGGCCATTCTCCTCTGACCTCTGGCATCAACAAGGCATTTCCGCCCACAGAACTGCCGCTCACTGGATGTTTTTTCTTTTTCGGACCATTCTCTGTAAACCCTAGAGATGGTTGTGCGTGAAAATCCCAGTAGATTAGCAGTTTCTGAAATACTCAGACCAGCCCTTCTGGCACCAACAATCATGCCACGTTCAAAGTCACTCAAATCAACTTTCTTCCCCATACTGATGCTCGGTTTGAACTGCAGGAGATTGTCTTGACCATGTCTACATGCCTAAATGCACTGAGTTGCCGCCATGTGATTGGCTGCTTAGAAATTAAGTGTTAACGAGCAGTTGGACAGGTGTACCTAATAAAGTGGCTAAAAAAATTAGCCCCACACTAACACGGCAGCATAATGAGTGTCCTTACATGCAAACCGAAGCATTGAGAACTTTGTAAGTGTATAGACAGTTTAATAAGAAGATACTTTACACAGACAGTACAGTTAGCGCATACAGACAGCAGCCATCTTGGAAAGCAGCCTCGATCAATCGAACCACGAAGGTGAGCGAACAGTACGTGTAGATATTGAAGATAAGATAAATTATATTTATTTTTTTATTTTCTCTGTTGCGTTCAGTGCTTCTCTTATGCGCTCAGTGCTTTCTTCCGGAAACAACGGACCATATGAGATTCCAAGTCACAGTTCAGCTCACGTATCACCGTGTTCGTGGTTTGACTGATCGAGGCTGTTTTCCAAGATGGCTGCTGTCTGTATGCGCTAACTGTACTGTCTGTGTAAAGTATCTTCTTATTAAACTGTCTATACACTTACAAAGTTCTCAATGCTTCGGTTTGCATGTAAGGACACTCATTATGCTGCCGTGTTAGTGTGGGGCTAATTTGAGCCTTGTTAATGGTATTAACTAGCGATCTCTTTTTGCTTACTCGATGCCCAATATACTAGCGTTATAAGCTTAACTGTTTTTAGAGATAAAACTCTTTACATTCGATTATCATGAAAACAAATCTCAGGGAACGATTTAGTCTGTACCAATGTGTTATTACACCCGAGGTTCATTTTGCACCGGAGTTGTCCTTTAAATCACCTTTCTTTCCCATTCTGACATTCAGTTTGGAGTTCAGGAGATTGTCTTGACCAGGACCACACCCCTAAATGCATTGAAGCAACTGCCATGTGATTGGTTGATTAGATAATTGCATTAATGAGAAATCGAACAGGTGTTCCTAATAATCCTTTAGGTGAGTGTATATATATATATATATAAATATATATATATAGATAGATAGATAGATAGATAGATAGATAGATAGATAGATATTAGATAGATAGATAGATAGATAGATAGATAGATAGATAGATAGATAGATTTTTTCTTTATTTCTGTCATTTGTAGCCGATAATGAACAATAATTTCAATAAGCAGCAGAACTGAATCTCTCTCTGGACGGATTTAAGTGTCAGTAACTGTCCTGCGCCTGAAGAGGGAGACGTCATCGAGTGTTAAATCCGCGAGATCTTCTGCGCATGTGCTAGAATCCTCTTCATCTTCATCAATCAGGTCATCTGATAACTATTGATTAGTAGCCTATATAATGCAAGTGATAATCACTCCATATTTACGGTCCATTATTGCGCATAGGACTGAGGCTGTGTGTGTGTGTGTGGGAGGGTCAGTGTGATGATGCTGCTGATGACGTCACTGCCGAGGGTTCAGCTGGACTGACTGCATCTGGTCACTGCAGGAGCGGATCACTGTGCGCGCGCCCGTGCGGAGTTTCCAGCGCGAGGTAAAACTCGTTCGCGTGTTTTCTTTAAATGTGAGTGTTTGTGAAATATGTCTGTGATTAGTTACAGTAACTGTGATCTTAGAGGTATTTGCTTTCGTCGCTCTATAATAACTTTCGCTGTAATGAACTTTGTACAACTTTTAAGTGATTGAAATTTCATAACGAGTGAATTCTATTTTTGCGATATTTAATCCGACAGTACAGTTGAGTGTTATATTCATAATCTAGAGTTGTGGATGTATCTGATGTCAATGTTATGATCTGAAGGTCTCAGGATTACTCTAAATCAAGTTACCATAAATGTCTATTTACACGTACCGGGATTAAAAACTATAATGATTATTCATATTGGGTGTTATTTAAATGGTTAATTTGGGAAGATTCAGCGCTATTAAAGTTAACAGACGCAGGCATAGATAAATACATGAAGAAAGTTATGTTATAAAAAATGTATATGTTATAGATATTAATAAATGTAAACGTGTCTGAAAATCCCAAACTCAAGACACTGATAATGTTAAAGATAGTCTCTACTTCCAACAAACTAATGCAGATTTCTCTCACAGGAAGTATTGAGTGGAATATTTTGGTCACTGCCCTGAAATATCAGCCGGAGCTTTGAGTCGAGTCCATCAGAACACACTCTTTACCAGCAAACCCCACTGAAGATGATGAAGATGATGAAGATGAAGAGCATCACGTGTCTTATAGCCGTTCTTCTGTGTGTGAGAACTGCAGCTTCAGGTAAGAGTGTGTTTCACATAATCTGGGTTACACTTTATTTTACAGAACATAGTGGCTACTTACAATAGCAATAACAGTAAATTATGCATAATTACATGCAACTAACCCTAAACCAAACCCTAACCCTATAGTAAGTACATGCAGTTACTTAATATTACTGCAATTACACTGTTACAGTGACACCTTAAAATAAAGTGTAACCGTTATCTGTGCTGACATATTATGCAATGGGAACGTGTTAAAAATGAAACCTTAGAGATCCTTCAGAAAGAGGAACTGTGCTGGGCAAAGTGTGTACAGCGAGAGACATCTGAATGAATATCTGGTGTTTCCATGTAGATTGTGGAGTCAAATGTTGAAACAAACATCAGTGTGTGTCTAATAGCACTTTAACGTGTGTGTATTGAGCTGTTTCAAATGTTCATATGACGAGTGGATATGATATGATGGACTCTGGATGCGTTGAGTTTGAGTCGTCTAGTGTGTTCGATCGGCTCTTCTCCAGATTCTGCTGGTGTCTTGTGTTGGTCATTACTCAGATAATACAGAACGTTCTAGCAAAGAAAACAGTCTTTAATACATTTCAAAATTAAAACGTTACTCATACATAATTCACGGGGCGTTTTGTTTCTGAAACGGTTTGGTTGGACGTTTTTTTAAAATGTAATAACATGTCTCGGAATGTTCAAATGTAACAATTCCGTAATGTTGAATGTAAAATGGAACGTTCACACATTTTAGAACCAAAACTTCAGAGAACATTCCGAAATAAGGTTTTCCAGACTTGTTTAGTTTTTGTCGGTTGATGCTCGATGTCTTTGGGTTTAAAACACAGTTCCAAACACAGCCTGACGTCTAGGCTAACACAAGGCAAGATCTAGTCTGTTAGTGAACGTTTAATAGACGTCTAACCATACCCTAAGAATACACTAGTCATCAGTTAGATACAGAAATGAAATGAGTGAAGAAATGAAACTCCTTGTAATCACTGTTGACTTTGCTTACATGATGGAATATCAGACATCTCATAGTTATTTTGGCAAAAACGACATGTAACCAAATCCAAGGTTATTTTGTCGTGTGTTACTCATAGCCGGACTATATCGGGTCTATAGTTCACCGAGACGCTGAAATGACAGATATTGGACAGTGAAAAGCTTTCCAGACACAATCATCTGATTTACGGCACGTTTGGATGATATCCGACAGCATGCTCGCTCTGTAGTGTGTGTCGTTGATCTGTCGCGAGAGTTCGCCTGTACTTTCGCTTTGCGTCTGACTGGAAGCGGCTCCGCTCAGCAGATTTATTAATGTTTCCCTCCTGAATCATCACTTTTACTTCTATAACGCTTCAAAGCAGCTTCACAGTAATCAAACTTATCAAATATTCGGACAATAGTGTCATTACACTACTTTTCTTACTGATTTCTGCCTGTTACTGAGTGAGTGTGAAATGCCATACGATATTATGTCTTGTTTTCTGGGGAAATAAATCAAAATGAAGTGAGTTTTGATCTGCCAATGGGGTAAGAGAAAATTATCTTAATTCAAATAGAAACAAAATAATTTTTCTTACCCCATTGGTAGATAATTTTGCTTGTTTTAAGCAACAAATCACTTCATTTTGATTTATTTCCCCAGAAAACAAGACATAATATCGTATGGTGTTTTACTCATCTAGTAAATGCATCTTGATTTAAGAATTTTGAGATATTTGGACTGGAAACAAGACAAAAGTACTAAGTAAGAAAAGCTTTTTTTTTGCAGTGTATTCAGTTCTGCTCAAAAACTGTAAAGTAAAGTTCAGCAATTATGAAAACATCTCAATTGAGTTCACTATGAAACAGTTTGTCGATAGTGAAATGAAGTCGTTCTGTGTGTGTGTGTGGTCAGACAGTGGGGTAGAGCTCAAGATGGCTCGTGTGTGTGTGTGTGTGTGTGTGTGTTTGTTAGTGACTGTGAAGCTCAGAAAACCACTGGAAAACAGAGACATCCTCAGGAAGAGGAGCGTTATGTAACTCCCTGATATTATACATCGACCCTTCAGAGAGAGAGAGAGAGAGAGAGAGAGTGAGAGAGAGAGAGAGAGAGAGAGAGAGAGAGAGTGTGTGTGTGAGTGTGTGAGTGTGTGAGTGAGTGAGTGAGAGAGAGAGAGAGAGAGAGAGAGAGAGAGAGAGAGAGAGAGAGTGTGTGTGAGAGAGTGAGAGAGAGAGAGAGAGAGACAGAGAGTGTGAGAGAGAGTGAGAGAGAGAGAGAGAGAGTGAGTGTGTGTGTGAGTAAGAGAGAGAGTGAGTGAGAGAGTGTGTGAGTGAGTGTGTGAGAGAGTGTGTGTGTGAGTGAGAGAGTGTGTGAGTGAGTGAGTGAGTGAGTGAGAGAGTGTGTGAGTGAGTGAGAGAGTGTGTGAGTGAGTGAGTGTGTGAGTGAGAGAGTGTGTGAGTGAGTGTGTGAGTGAGAGAGTGTGTGAGTGAGTGTGTGAGAGAGTGAGTGAGAGAGTGTGTGA